CTAAATATTGGACATAAACGAACATGTTAAATATAAAAGTATTTAAAACAGGTAAGTTTATATATTTGGAGTAAATTGTTAAATTGAGTTAAAAAAGTTAAATTGAACGGATACATCAGTCATACAGCGCTCAGGACCGTGCGCCCCATGACGAGCCCAACGCGCCGCCACAGAAACAAGAATGAAATGCATTCTAACATAACTGTGGCATTAAACTCAGTTAGTGAGGGCTCGGTTAAAATATTGCACATATATAGGCCGTTCAGATTACTTGTAAAAATGCAATGAAATACCTTATATCAGCAGACTATGTACGTCTGTTTTTGAGGTTGGAGACTCCTTCACCGGCTACAGGCTCTAATCCTCATTTGCGCGAGTGTGAAATGCAGTGCTGAAGTGAAATAGCGGGGCAATTTGATAATAATAGCCGAATTATAATAGGCCGCCTAATAATAATAATACTAATAATAATTTAATACATTTATTGGAGAACAGGGCTTGAAAACCAAAAAAAAAATTCAATCGGTTCACTCCGAGCAGAATCGATTTTTTTAAGTTTCTGTTCCTGCGTTCCTCTGTTATTACCGTTCAGAAACCGGGTCGGGTAGAAGAAATACCAGTTAATAACGTTATTTTTTTTTTTACAATTTTCTTTGCCTATAATAATAATAATAATAATAATAAAGTACAGCGTTTTCTTTACTCAAAAAGAAAACGAAAAAAAACAGGAAGAGATATGGTAACGTTAACCTATAACCCACTGCGCTTAGTCACAGCCAATACAGCAACATCTTTTCTAGATTTTGGCCAAATGTAGGCTACTAAACAAAAGAAAAAAAACTATCAACACTTTAAAGACATTAAAGTATTTTTAAGATATTTAAAAATGTTTGATGCATTGTTAAAAAAACGCTATGTATAAGATTGCGTTTTGAGAGTGAAAAAAAAAACATAAGTAGCGTATAGGCTCGCGTCGCATTTTATTAGCCCTATTACATTCAGAAATAATGTAGGCTAAAATGCCGGTAGGCTAAAGCAAAATGTTTACAAACATTATAAACACAGTTATTATTTTCTCTCCACAACAAATCCTCTAAAGTTAAGGCTATGCGTTTAGGCTATAAAAACGTCAATCCAAAAACAAATTAACTTAAGGTGAAACTGATGCTTACCTCTCTCATTCGGCACGAATCCAAATGTTTCCATATTCGCGACATATATGGATGCTAAAATATTATTTATTATAGGCTAGGCTTTTGTACATTAATTGACGTAAAACATCAACCTTTACATCGGCTATATTAGCACAGTGAGGCGGTGGTCACGCTGAACGCAACAGATTTTGTACAACGGAGCAGTGTAACTTTTTATTTGTTTCTTTAACTGTATTTTATTTTGATAATGAACAGGCTGCAATGTCACAAAAATATGTTGTGTGTGCGCGTGAGGCACCAGGTATGATGGTCATACCAACGCTGGTTGATTATACAGATAGAAGCAAGACATTATTCAAAACTGTCAAGCTTTTGCAAAATAAATAAAACTGTAAAGCTTTTGCAAAATAAAGAAAACTACTTTCTACTGTCTCGCTTTCCTTTCCGAGAACTTTGGAACGCGTCACAATGAACTGTAACTCAGCACATTTTTTCTTTAGTTTTGTTAATCTGTCAATGAATTAAGTGAAATATATTTTGTGTATATACCTATATTCCTTTTTATGTAAGCCTATAGTTTTATTCTGTTTTCTCCATTCACAGAAGCGCTGCAGTTGCGTGTGATCTGTTGAGTCCTTCTTACACTATCCTCGGATAAACTCTAACGCCAGTGCATTGCCATTGCGACTTCCCTATGAGTTCACAGCTGAGCAGGCATTTCACTTGTTGGCGTCAGCATTACATTTGCATAGACCGTACTACTGGAATTCATGATTGGTTGACAGCAAATTTCAAATATTAAATGGAACGATAAATTAACGTTATTAACCCGTTAATGGCCATTTCAAATTTTCAATTCTGTTCGTAACTATAACATTTGATTTAGTTTCTGTTTCTGGCTCTGTTCCTGTCAAAATTGCGTTTGTTTCTGGTTTTCGTTTTTGTTCCTTGAACCAGTTCAGAGCCCTGTAGGAGAATGAGCCTTGATTAGAGCCCGACCGATATATCGTTTTGCCGATATTATCGGTATCGGCGAATATGCGCCGATATGAACATTTTTTTTACAGAACATATAATGCAGATAAAATGCTTGAAATGGTGTAATTACTTAGTTTGTCCAGCAGAGCGCGCTCCATTGTTTGCTACTGGCGACCTGGATGAAACGCTTTAAAGCTTAAGTCTATGGAAAACCATTGAAACTTTGAACGGCCATATCTCCGTAACGGCACAGCGAATCCGCACCAAATTCGGGGGATCTCTTCAGCTCAAGGAACCCTCTCGAACGCGAATCGAGTGTACGTCTCGAGGCCCTCTTTCGAATGAGACCACACCCGCGTGGATAGGCCCCGGGGTTCGGGAGTTACGGCTGGTTAAATTCGCGGTCCGGCGCC